CTTCTCCAGAACCACTGGACCAGGAAAGATGAAACTCATGTGGAATCATCCTCAGGTAGTGCAGATTCAAGTTTGTTCAAATCATGACCCCCGGGGCTAGGGTGGGGCCAAAATAGCCGACCCAAGTTTTACATAGGAATATATAGGAAAAATCTTTAAAAATCTTCTTCTCCAGAACCACTGGGCCAGGAAAGATGAAACTCATGTGGAATCATCTTCAGGTAGTGCAGATTCAAGTTTGTTCAAATCATGACCCCCCGGGCTAGGGTGGGGCCAAAATGGCCGACCCAAGTTTTACATAGGAATATATAGGAAAAATCTTTAAAAATCTTCTACTCCAGAACCACTGGGCCAGGAAAGATGAAACTCATGTGGAATCATTCTCAGGTAGTGTAGATTCAAGTTTGTTCAAATCATGACCCCCGGGGCTAGGGTGGGGCCAAAAGTTCCGACCCAAGTTTTACATAGGAATATATAGGAAAAATCTTTAAAAATCTTCTTCTCCAGAACCACTAGGCCAGGAAAAATGAAACTCATGTGGAATCATCCTCAGGTAGTGTAGATTCAAGTTTGTTCAAATCATGACCCCCGGGGCAAGGGTGGGGCCAAAATGGCCGACCCTTGTTTTACATAGGAATATATAGGAAAAATCTTTAAAAATCTTCTTCTCGAGTACCACTGGGCCAGAAAATATGAAACTCATGTGGAATCATCCTCAGGTAGTGTAGATTCAAATTTGTTCAAATCATGACCTCCGGGGCAAGGGTGGGGCCAAAATGGCCGACCCAAGTTTTACATAGGAATATATAGGAAAAATCTTTTAAAATCTTCTTCTCCAAAACCACTGGGCCAGGAAAGATGAAACTCATGTGGAATTATCTTCAGGTAGTGTAGATTCAAGTTTCTTCAAATCATGACCCCCGGGGCAAGGGTGGGGCCAAAATGGCCGACCCAAGTTTTACATAGGAATATATAGGAAAAATCTTTTAAAATCTTCTTCTCCAGAACCACTGGGCCAGGAAAGATGAAACTCATGTGGAATCATCCTCAGGTAGTGTAGATTCAAGTTTGTTCAAATCATGACCCCCGGGGCTAGGATGGGGCCAAAATGGCCGACCCAAGTTTTACATAGGGATATATAGGGAAACCTTCTAAAATCTTCTTTTCAAGTTCTTCAAAGCTATGATTAGTGATATTTATATGGAATCATGATCATCCTCAGGTAGTGTAGATTCTAGTTTGTTCAAATGATGAACGCCTGGAGGGGGGGGGGGGGGGAGTAAATTAAAGCCCGATGTGCTCAGGTGAGCGCTGTGGCCCCTGGGCCTCTTGTTTTAAATAAGTGATTGAATATTGACATGGCGTGTTCAGAAGGACTATGGTTGCAGGGACAAGATGGAGGATGGGATGGATGGATATCTAGGCACAGTAGATTTTTTTTGTAATTAAACAGTTTGAAAGCAATATTCGATGTTTATTCATAGGTTGTGGTCTGCACCTAAAAAAAAGACCAGGAATCTCTGACAGGACGGTCGCTCTACTGGTTTATTGTTATAAAAAAGGAAAATAAAAGTAGCATTTGAACTTGAAGCAAAACATCAGACTTTTAAAAAATATCATTGATTTAGTCTTTTCTAGGCAAATATTTATTGCAATCAAACCAAAACTGTAGAAGGAGTATCATTTGAAAATATTTCAAAATGTCTATTTCTATTAACCATGGCAACACCGATCATCGAAATCAAAAACCGATAATAGAATTATGTATCTTAGTCTGGTCTACTTGTGTGCCAATTCATAGTTCCGACTCGTCTTCCGATGCCCCGCCCACCTTAGTTACGGTTTCTAAGTCCCACATTATGGCGATGCTGGGTACATCAGCGGATGTCGCGACTGACAGTCTGAAGTCTATTCCAGACGATTTTTGCGTGAAATATTTGCCAAATAGCTTGTATGTTGAAATCAGACCAAAACTGTAGGAGGAGTAGCATTTTGAAAATATTTCAAAGAAATTTCTATTGTATTATTTACAGATGGACAGACAGACAACTGGACGGACGACAGACCTTCGAATATCGAATAAGTTCTTCGACAATAAGCGCTATAAAAATTAAAGAAGCTGAACATTACAGTAATTTTTTTATTAACATATAAATGAGAAAAAAATTCATTTAAGGACCAAATTAATTGAAAACACATGAAACTGAACATTTCTTTCATCGATTACAAATGTCCACTGATTTGATATACAAAATATACATTGAAAACTGTAACAACTGAATTGAACAACATACTGTAAACTTATTACATTAAGCTTTGTATACTTTCTAGCACATTTGGCGGTAAGAAACTCTCGCTTATTCAAGTACACTTGCTAAATGTCTTGTACTTATATTCAAATAAGAACATTAGGACATGAGCTAAATCAACACCAACTTGTCCCACATTCAATTTTCGCAAAATATTGCACATGCTGCATGTAATACTTTTACAGTATTACAGTATTACATATCATGAGGTATATATAAACAGTTATATATAAAACTATATAACCATTTCCACAAAAGTTGAAAAAAAAACTAGATAATCTAAGTATATGTCTGAATATGTACAATGATACGTTCAGGTTCATTAAAAAATTTTGCAATATATTGAAAATTAATGCTCAAAAACTTCTGTATATGTACCTTAAAGTAAAATGAATGATAAGAATCTCTGTATTGGTTTTTATTATGTGATTTATTATATATATATATATATATATATATATATATATATATATATATATATATATATATATATATATATATATATATATATATATATATACAGGTAAACTTCGTTATCTCGACATCGACGGGACAGTCGGAAAATGTCGAGATATCCGAGGTGTCGAGATATCAGAGTTGAGACTCGACGTCCTTAATTTTACTTCATAGAAAAACCATAGATCTAAACTGAACAGACGTGTAATTACAAGTACCTACATGTCTTCAATTAGACTGTAGCTCGTTTGTTTCAGCTATCCCTCTATATTTATTAGAAAATCTAAGAAGTTATATATTCACAAATGTTATTTATGAAATGCTTTCTTTTTTATGAAATCTTCTCATTTTACTAAAAACCGTTTTCCATTCAGCATTCGATCCGCGTGCCACTAGCTCTGTCAGAACAGGATACGAAATGCGCTCTATAAACTCCAAACCGGAACGGTACAAAGTCGACTTCTGAGAAACGGAAAAAAATTAATGCGTGTATTTTTTAAAATTATTTCATTTCACTTTTTTTTATTTTAAAATCATTCATCATTAATTTTCATTTCATTTTCAAACCTAAATTCATTGGAATTGCACATTTAACAAACTTCATGAAATTACATATGCATCCATATTACAGCTGATGCGTCGTGCATGTCGTTGTTTTGATTGATTCTTGTTGAATGCATTTTTACAATTTTTAAGTTAAATTGAATTCATTGAGTATATTGTTCATTGTTATTCAGTTACTCTTATATAAAATGTTCAAGTTTTGTTAGATTTCGACATAAATAAACGGTTGTACATTAACGCAGAATCGAGAAGATTAATTTTTTTTTTTTATCAATGATCGATATTACCCAAGCTGAACATTAAACAATTAACGTCTTGGAGACGCCGAGGGGGCTTGGGATTCCTCTACAAACACATTTCTACAGAACAGTATGTAGTCAAAACATGGGTGTGAAAGGTGTGAATTTCAGACGACGTCGAGGTACACTAAGTCGTCCGTGCGTGACGAGCGACCAGCTGACAAACAATTAGGTTAAGTAGAGCAGAAAACTGCCCCGATGTCGACATATACCAGGTTAATTTTGCTCTTGGGACTGTGAAGTATGTCGAGATAAGCGGGGTAGTCGACATTACCGAGGTCGACATATCCGAGTTTTTGCAAATCATTTATATAGTAAATAATGCCGGGACCGCAGACGGACGTCGACATATCGCAGGTTTTCGACATATCCGATGTCGAGATACCGAAGTTTACCATATATATATATATATATATATATATATATATATATATATATATATATATATATATATATATATATATATAGAAAGCACAAAGAAATTCACTTTTACATGGATACCCACTTCCGCTCCAGCCCGGGGTTGAACTCTCGACCTTCGGAATCTGTCTCCTAGCAGTGCAGGAACAGCGCGCTAGACCGCTCGGCTATCTAGGCAAGTCACTAGAAACTTGCTTTCGATGCCGATGGAATTCTCGCGGCGCTGCCCTACACTACACGGTCATTGAGAATAGACGTGAGATACTGTTATTTGGACATTAGTTTTAACAGAGGATTGTTACCAATACATGTTGTAATGAAATTAATTATTATTTATAAAGCACATTTTACAACAACTCTTAAACTAACATAACTGCCCTAAGTGAAGAAATATTAATATGGAAAGCACAAAGAAATTCACTTTTACATGGATACCCACTTCCGCCCCAGCCCGGGGTTGAACTCTCGACCTTCGGAATCTGTCTCCTAGCAGTGCAGGAACAGCGCGCTAGACCGCTCGGCTATCTAGGCAAGTCACTAAAAACTTGCTTTCGATGCTGATGGAATTCTCGCGGCGCTGCCCTACACTTCACGGTCATTGAGAATAGACGTGAGATACAGTTATTTGGACATTAGTTTTAACAGAGGATTGTTACCAATACATGTTGTAATGAAATTAATTATTATTTATAAAGCACATTTTACAACAACTCTTAAACTAACATAACTGCCCTATATATATATATATATATATAACTCTTAAACTAACATAACTGCCCTATATATATATATATATATATATATATATATATATATATATATATATATATATATATATATATATATATATATATATATAACTAATTTTTTAACTCTTTTAAATATTTTTTCAAAAATTCTTCTTTTTCTATTTCAAAGATTTTTTTGTTTTAATTATAAACAAATGTATTATATCATGCATCATATTTACAATTAAATGAACAATACTTGAAAAGAAAAACCATGAGAGACAATTGAGGGCAACAAAAGAGTAAAAATAAAGAAAATTGAGCATTCACACAATTTTGCAGCAACTCTCATATGATACAAACTTGTTTTCAACCAAACAATTGACGCATTACAGCCATAACATAAAATATTGAAGTATGGAATCAAAAAATTGATCCTTCTCTTAATGTCAAGAATGAACAGCTTAAATTTAATTATTTGTAGAGAATGGCAGTTTCCACTCAATGCCATTTGTGACTAAAATTGTTCCAACTTTGCAGAATGATTCAAAATGAGAGTGGATGCACTAACTTGTTTTTTTTTGCATGGTGAGTTGGACAATTTAGGACCATTACACGCTTAGCTTGGACTTTCAGTAAGGCGTGGCATTCTCGATGTTACATAATTAGCTTCTAAAATTTACACAGCTTCCCTTCACTATTGAAATATACATATGATTGATTGTATATTGTTTAACGTCCCTCCTGAGAATTTTTCACTCATATGGAGACGTCACCGTATGCCGGTGAAGGGCTTCAAATGATACCTATACTCGCACTCAGGGCCATTGAGCAGTGAGGGTTCTTTATCGTGCCAGCGCCTACCGTGACACGGGACCTACGTTTTTAAGGTCATATCCGAAAGACCCGTGACTTTCACTTCTGATGCCGAGCGCTTGGCGAAGGAACAGTCACTACCTATGTTTACGTCTCAGGTTTGACGCGGCGCCGGGAACGAGAATCTGACCCAGGCCTCCCGATCACGAAGCGAACGCTCTACCACTAGGCTACCATGAACGGTCAAATAATATACATTTGATAGAAATGCAACAGAGTGTCAACTGGTGTAGCAAATAGCCAATTATAAGTTCTCTCATGGCACAGAGGTGGGTCATAAGTCGTCAACAACAATTTTAAGTTCCTGATATTATTAATTGCTAAACCAATGCATGAGAATCTACTAGTATTCGCCATTACGTAGCGCCGAGAAAGTCACGCTCTACTGAAAGTTCGAAGAAAGGGTAAAATCGTTCTATATAATATAAAACAACATATACTGAATAAAGACTGATCTCTTTCTGAAGCAAGTCTTAATACTTGTAAATAATAACAAATCAAAATTTCAAGACACCTTTTAAAGAGAGGGTAGGTAAAACATTGCGTATAATGTCAGGACATAAGCTCTTATTTTTATAATTTTTTCATGTACACTATACGGAATTACTTTTTTCTAAAGAACATCAACTTTCACATTTCTTTGATTTAATCAGCACTATCTTCCTCTCAGCACGTTTTAGGTATTCAAACAAATCTTCGATTTTTTAAATATCGGTATCAGTATAATCTTGTCCAGAGTCACCATTCTTTCTTTTACTGTCTCGCACATTCTTCAGCACCCGTAACTCTTATATGCACACATGCAACGATTTCAAAAAAAAGTATCGCTTATCCTAAACTCACTGAATATTTGTCTCGTTTAACCTTTAACAGACAGACCATGCTAAAATAACACACAATCATCCTTGCTGAACCTTACCCTGACAATAACATCAATCCACACACCCAGGAGAATAATATCATCTCTATAAAATCATCCACCTAAAAACTATATGTCCATCAATCATTCTAAACAAAAAAAAGTTACAGATGAAATGCAAACTTTACATCATCAATCGATTCTGCAAAGATTACAATCTTAATTTTATTAAAGACGATTTCCTCTATATATATAATTACCATACATGAGTGCTAGCAGATTTGTCACAATCATATTTATTCTATCCTTAGATGTACATTAAGGGACTCTTGTAAATGATATTAAGCCCCAGTCTGTAGCAGTTCCTTCAAATATTAAACCTCTAGTAAGTATTCATAACATCTCACCCTCATCCGCTGTTGTCATTGGTGTTTCTGACTTATCTGACTGATGTTATGAGCTCCAGCTTCTATGAGCTCTTTCACTACACTCATATATCCTCCCTTAGATGCTGCTGTCAGTGGTGTATCATACTTCCCTTTCTGATTGATATCAGCTCCGCCTTCTACAAGCTCCTTCACTACACTAATATGTCCACCCTTACATGCTGCTGTCAGGGGTGTATCATCTCCAGCTTGCTGATCGATATCAGCTCCGGCTTCTATAAGCACTTTAACTACACTCATATGTCCTTCTGTACATGCTGCTGTCAGTGGTGTATACTCACCTTGTAGATTGATATCAGCTCCGGCTTCTATAAGCTCCTTCACTACACTCATATGTCCACCCTCACATGCTGCTGTCAATGGTGTATGACATTCTCTTTTAGGATTGATATCAGCTCCGGCTTCTATAAGCTCCTTTACTATACTCATATGTCCACCCTCACATGCTGCTGTCAATGGTGTATGACATTCTCCTTTAGGATTGATATCAGCTCCAGCTTCTAAAAGCTCCATCACTACATTTCTGTGTCCACCCTTATATGCTGCTGTCAGTGGTGTATGAAACATACCTTGTAGATTGATATCAGCTCCGGCTTCTATAAGCTCCTTCACTACACTCATATGTCCTCCCTCACATGCTGCTGTCAGTGGAGTATCATACGTACCTTGTAGATTGATATCAGCTCCGGCTTCTATAAGCTCCTTCACTACACTCATATGTCCACCCTCACATGCTGCTGTCAATGGTGTATTATACCCATCTTGAGGATTGATATCAGCACCAGCTTCTATAAGCTCCTTCACTACACTCATATGTCCACCCTTACATGCTGCTGTCAGTGGTGTATCATACTTACCTTGTTGATTGATATCAGCTCCGGCTTTTTTAAGCACCTTCACTATACTCATATGTCCACCCTTACATGCTGCTGTCAGGGGTGTATCATCTCCACCTTGCTGATCGATATCAGCTCCTGCTTCTATAATCTTTTTAACTACACTCATATGTCCTTTCTCACATGCTGCAGTCAGTGGTGTATGTAACTTACCATGTTGATTGATCTTAGCTCCTGCTTCTATAAGCTCCTTAACTATACTCATATGTCCACCCTTACATGCTGCAGTTAATGGTGTATCATACCTACCTTGTAGATTGATATCAGCTCCGGCTTCTTTAAGCTCCTTCACTACACGCATATGTCCAGCCTTGCATGCAGCTATCAGTGGTGTATACTCACCTTGTAGATTGATATCAGCTCCGCCTTCTATAAGCTCCTTCACTACACTCATATGTCCACCTTCACATGCTGCTGTCAGTGGTGTATACTCACCTTGTAGATTGATATCAGCTCCGGCTTCTATAAGCTCCTTCACTACACTCATATGTCCACCCCTATATGCTGCTGTCAGTGGTGTATCACAACTATCTTGCTGATTGATATCAGCTCCGGCTTCTATAAGCTCCTTCACTACACTCATATGTCCACCTTCACATGCTGCTGTCAGTGGTGTATACTCACCTTGTAGATTGATATCAGCTCCGGCTTCTATAAGCTCCTTCACTATACTCATATGTCCACCTTCACATGCTGCTGTCAGTGGTGTATACTCACCTTGTAGATTGATCTCAGCTCCAGCATCTATAAGCTCCTTCACTACACTCATATTTCCACCCCTATATGCTGCTGTCAGTGGTGTATAACAACTATCTTGCTGATTGATATCAGCTCCGGCTTCTATAAGCTCCTTCACTATACTCATATGTCCACCTTCACATGCTGCTGTCAGTGGTGTATACTCACCTTGTAGATTGATATCAGCTCCGGCTTCTATAAGCTCCTTCACTACACTCATATGTCCACCCTCACATGCTGCTGTCAGTGGTGTATTATACCCACCTTGTAGATTGATATCAGCTCCGGCTTCTGTAAGCTCCTTCACTACACTCATATGTCCACCCTCACATGCTGCTGTCAATGGTGTATGACACTCACCTTGTAAATTGATATCAGCTCCGGCTTCTATAAGCTCCTTCACTAAACTCATATGTCCACCTTGACATGCTGCTGTCAGCTCACCTTGTAGATTGATATCAGCTTCTTCTATAAGCTCCTTCACTACACTCATATGTCCACACCTACATGCTGCTGTCAGTGGTGTATGAAACCCACCTTGTAGATTGATATCAGCTCCACCTTCTATAAGCTCCTTCACTACACTCATATGTCCACCTTGACATGCTGCTGTCAGTGGTGTATTACACTTACCTTGTGGATTGATATCAGCTCCGGCTTCTATAAGCTCCTTCACTAAACTCATATGTCCACCTTCACATGCTGCTGTCAGTGGTGTATACTCACCTTGTAGATTGATATCAGCTCCGGCTTCTATAAGCTCCTTCACTACACTCATATGTCCACCCTTACATGCTGCTGTCAGTGGTGTATCAAACCTACCTTGCTGATTGATATCAGCTCCGGCTTCTATAAGCTCCTTCACTACACTCATATGTCCTCCTTGACATGCTGCTGTCAGTGGTGTATCAAGCTCACCTTGCTGATTGATATCAGCTCCCGCTTCTATAAGCTCCTTCACTAAACTCATATGTCCACCTCTACATGCTGCTGTCAGTGGTGTATGCAACCGACCTTGTTGATTGTTATCAGCTCCGGCTTCTATAAGCTCCTTCACTACACTCATATGTCCACTACCACATGCTGCTGTCAGTGGTGTATCAAGCTCACCTTGCTGATTGATAGCAGCTCCGGATTCTATAAGCTCCTTCACTACACTCATATGTCCACCTTGACATGCTGCTGTCAGTGGTGTATGCAACCGACCTTGTTGATTGATATCAGCTCCGGCTTCTATAACTTCCTTCACTACACTCAAATGTCCACCTCTACATGCTTCTGTCAGTGGTGTATTACACTTACCTTGTGGATTGATATCAGCTCCGGCTTCTATAAGCTCCTTCACTACACTCATATGTCCACTACCACATGCTGCTGTCAGTGGTGTAGAATACTTTCCTTGTGGATTGATATCAGCTCCGGCTTCTATAAGCTCCTTTACTAAACTCATATGTCCACCTTCACATGAGTGGTGTATATTGTTGATTGATATCAGCTCCTGCTTCTATAAGCTCCTTCACTACACTCATATGTCCTCTTTGACATGCTGCTGTTAGTGGTGTATCAAGCTCACCTTTCTGATTGATATAGGCTCCCGCTTCTATGAGCTCCTTCACTAAACTCATATGTCCACCTTGACATGCTGCTGTCAGTGGTGTATCAAACTTACCTTGCTGATTGATATCAGCTCCGGCTTCTATAAGCTCCTTCACTAAACTCATATGTCCACCTTCACATGCTGCTGTCAGTGGTGTATGAAACCAACCTTGTTGATTGATATCAGCTCCGGCTTCTATAAGCTCCTTCACTACACTCATATGTCCACCTTCACATGCTGCTGTCAGTGGTGTAACAAACCTACCTTGTGGATTGATATCAGCTCCGGCTTCTATAAGCTCCTTCACTACACTCATATGTCCACCCTTACATGCTGCTGTCAGTGGTGTATCAATACTTTCCTTGTGGATTGATATCAGCTCCGGCTTCTATAAGCTCTTTAACTACACTCATATATTCACTACCACATGCTGCTCTCAGTGGTGTATCAAACTTACCTTGTGGATTGATATCAGCTCCGGCTTCTATAACTTCCTTCACTACACTCAAATGTCCACCTTCACATGCTTCTGTCAGTGGTGTATTACACTTACCTTGTGGATTGATATCAGCTCCGGCTTCTATAAGCTCCTTCACTACACTCATATGTCCACTACCACATGCTGCTGTCAGTGGTGTATTTAACTTACCTTGTTGATTGATATCAGCTCCGGCTTCTATAAGCTCTTTCACTACACTCATATGTCCACTACCACATGCTGCTATCAGTGGTGTATCAAACTTACCTTGTGGATTGATATCAGCTCCCGCTTCTATAAGCTCCTTCACTACACTCATATGTCCACTACCACATGCTGCTGTCAGTGGTGTATCATACTCACCTTGTTGATTGATATCAGCTCCCGCTTCTATAAGCTCCTTCACTACACTCATATGTCCACCTTGACATGCTGCTGTCAGTGGTGTATCACACATTTGTGTATCACACAAATATTTCACATTTGTGTTTGTTTGTTTTAAATCGATATACTTAATTAATATTCTTACAGTCTCTAAATCTCCACTGTAACAACTCAATACAAATAAGCGGTCATGTTCGGGAACAGACTGACTGTTTTTCTGTTTTTGATTTCTTGTATCAGTAATGGAGTTCGATAAAAATAATTTGTCTGTGGCATTACCTTTTTCAGAGTTATTTCGTCTCTCGTTGGCTTCATAGATTAATTTGGGGCTAAAGGAATTCCAAAATAGTTCAATCTCTGTTTCTTTGTGTAATTCAGTTTGTTTTAAAATATATTGTAAGATCTTATTGTGTCCGTAGTAAACCACCCAACTGATAACCCTCACACTGTATGTTATTTCTTTATCATCACCACTTCTTATTCACCAGCACCTCTGTCTGCGCCACTCCCATCTCCTCTCATTCCTCTTCTCACTCTCCTCCCTCACACGCTTTCCTTTACTCACCTCCTTAGACACGTCTTTCTGTTTTGACAGAAACAAAGACTTCAACTCTGTGTAAGACTTGGTCTTTAACACCTCAATAAAAGCCTTACAAACCTTAGGATGTTTCAAAACATTATTCATAAAAACATCATACAGCTCCATATTTTCTATATCCCTGTACAAACGCTCTGCTAACATTGGGTACTGATCCTCTCTTAACCTTATGCAGAGTTCAAATGAGTCCTGGATTGTTTCACTACTTAATGTTTCCTGCTCCTCAGCACTAAATTCTTCATTTTCATCTTGCTTATATTCAACCTCTGACTCTTCTTTACATTCTTGTACTTTCACGTTATTAGCAATGTAACTACTGCTAATATATTGCAACAAAAGATCTGGAAACTGACATCCATAATGATACACAAGGATTTCAAAGACAGAGTCATGAATAATGGTGTACTCAGTACCACAGAGTTTTGTGTATGTACCCTCCATAGCTGCCAATGCTTTAACAAATTTAAATGTATCAGTGTTACTTTCAACTTCACAACTTTCCAATACTTTTGATTTCATTTCCTGGAAAACGTCGTTTTCTGTGTTTTTCAATGTTAATATTTCTTTTGATAGTTTTTTTTCATTCAACATGCACAAGACCAATGTAGCATAGCACAAACTATTTCGCCCTTTCATTTCATTGAATTGTCCTAAAATACATTCTGCTGGACAGGTAAAGAACCTTTCAACATTGCTCTTAAATTTCTCCTCTTTTGAGTATAGTTTACATAATAGAGGAAACATATCTAATGTTTCTCCAAGTAATTTTGGGGACAACAAATCTCTATCCAAGCCGTGTTTCTGAAGAATCGCTTTTTTGTCTTCATCATTCAATGCATTTTCGGGACTATGCATCTTAATTGTGTTTGCCTCATTTACGAAAAATGATTTGTAACATTCATTAAACACTGCTTCCCTACATGACATTAAAACCTTTGTATTCCTATTAAAAGGATCTGAAATTCTTTTTTCATAGTCTATCAATAACTCTAACTTTTGTTTTTGCAGACCTAAAACACCTACCACATCATCAATGACAAAAACCTGTGGATGACGAGAGTCAGAATAATCTTCAATCTTCCTGATGTCTATAATTGGTACAACCTCATACTCTTCCTTCTGGAGTATCAGAGCTATGTGATGAATTGTTGCCGATTTTCCAGATCCTGGGACACCAACAAATGTCATGTAATGTTGACTTCTGACTTGATCCAACATTGCAGGGAAGCCGTGGCTTTCACTGTAAACCCCATCCTCCTCTTTCCATCGTATGACATCTTTTTCAAAAACATCTAGAATGAATTGTTACAGTGACTTATGTTATCAATTTCTTATCTTGTTCATAATGTAATTAAGCGGAATTCAGAGTAATGCAACGTTTTACACATGATGCCTAATAACGTACGGTGTACATGTATGTGGTTATAAGAAAGATAAGTTTGCAGGATTAAATTTGAAGAATTGCTGTAATTTATGGATTTCTGTAGAAATTTAAAAGTTTCTAGATTTGTAAATCAATTATGATTTAACCATAGATTATATTGTCACCTAAATTTTCAAAACTTTCTTATTTTATTTGATAAAGCCGATTTACATGTTGAAAATATCCACATTTTCATTAACCCCTGCTTTCACCTAAATTATATCTTTAAAAAATTTTCGATCCGAATTATTATATATTTTTTGTAAATGTTAATTTTATTGTGAATCCATTACTGTATAATTCATAACATGAATAAAATAATAAGATTCTTGAAAGTTTCAAAATCTTTAGAATCTGAAATGCATTTCTCGTTCATTTTAAAAGTGCTTGGTATTGAAACTTCTACTAAGAATCAGGGTTAGGGTTAGGATTAAGATTGTACTGAAGATAACACATAAAGTTATCAGCATTCAATTTAACAAAAAGAGGTAAATTAAGTACACTACATTTTTATAATAAAATTAATTTATCCCACCTCTAATCTGATCTGATGTTTGATCTCCTCTTATCTTGTATTGTTTTATTTTTTTATAAGTTTTTCATAATTGATTAAAATTACATATTTTGGGGGACAATTTTTTATATTTAAACTTTTCAAACCAGCGAAAAATAACGTTTGTTGTTTAATGTCTCTCTCATAATATACAATCAATCAATCAATCAATATACAAGAGCAAAAAAGGTACATTTTATAATTTCTTATTTCTTGCACAATTCTGAAGGAAAGGAATATATGAATTCTTCTTATTATGTATTTCATAAAGTCCTTCAAGATGTATTGATACTTAAACGTTTTAAATTAAGATTCAGATTCTGAACCATTTTAATATAATTTGTCAATCCTATTGCCACCATCATGGCACCATGGGAATATAAAACAAAATGTATATACAATATGTTGTTTTAATTGAAACAAGCCAAGGTTAATTAATTTTTTGTAAAATTTGCCAATTATTATTTTAGAATTAAATAACATACCTTTGACATTTGGAGGGATTACAGACTTTGGTTTTCTTATTTCATCTGAAAAAATAATAAAAAAGAAGACTTTTTAGGTGGCATACTGTGTATTTATGAAAATTATTCTCTTTTATTTTGTGGTAAAACTCAATCTTTGCAAAGCTAGACTTCATTGTTTTTTTTCTCCAAATACAGTTAGATATAACCTTAACAAATATGAAACAAATAAATAAGTCATTTCAATCAAAGGCAAACTCATTGTATGATTTTATTTCCAACTAATGGCCAAAAAATACTTCAACAGATTTTTTTCTGATCAAAATTGTTGGCGTTGTCGTAAACTTTTTACATTTTCATCTTCTTCTCAGGAACCACTGGGCCAATTTCAACCAAACTTGGCACAAAGTATCCCTGGGTGAAGGGGATTCAAGATTGTTCAAATGAAGGGCCACGCCCTCTTCCAAGGGGAGATAATTATGAATTAGTGAAAAATTATAAGCATTTTTAAAAAATCTTCTCAAGAACCACTGGGCCAGGAAAGATGAAACTCATGTGGAATCATCCTCAGGTAGTGCAGATTCAAATTTGTTCAAATCATGACCTCCGGGGCTAGGGTGGGGCCAAAATGGCCGACTAAATTTTTACATAGGAATATATAGAAAAAATCTTTAAAAATCTTCTTCTTAAGAACCACTGGGCCAGGAAAGATGAAACTCATGTGGAATCATCCTCAGGTAGTGTAGATTCAAATTTGTTCAAATCATGACCCCCGGGGAGGAGTTATAGCCCTTGTCAGGAGGAGTTATAGCCCTTGTCAGGAGGAGTTATAGCCCTTGTCATGGACGGCAGGCTTTTATGGTCGCTCCGAGTATATTGAATCTATTTGCTTATTTTTCCTATTCTCGAGCGCTGTATGCTGTTTAAATTGTGTGATTATTATAGTGGTTTGTATGCCGCAACTAAATACAACGAACTGTGAGTATCAAATTATAATATTTTGAACATTGAAAATCAAAACGGCAGCAAGTAGTAAATCCAACTGAACACTACTCAGTATGCAGAAGGTACAAAGAAACCTGTCGATACACTTTTCGACAAAATTCTACAAGGGTATAACTCATGAAGATGTACTAGACAGGGTAAAAGAAAAGATTGACATTGATGATATAAAAGCAATTCAGATTACAGAAAAGGAGTGTTTTGTAACTTTAAAAAATGAACAAACAAAAGAAAAACTATTAATGTCCGGTGTAACGGTTAAAAATCGAACAGTTTCATTGTATGAGGTTGACAAACAAATCACGAATGTGACAATCAAAGATGCCCCTATTGAACTACCAGACACTTTCATAACTACAAATATGATGCAGTTTGGTCAGGTAGTAGCAGGTAGCATCAAGCATGGCACTATTAAAAATACGTCCGTTGAAAACGGCACACGTTACTTGCAAATATTAAACTGTGCACCTAGTCTACCAAACAGAACAAAATTTGGGGATCACGAGGTCAGAATCTTTGCGGATAATAATCGCACGCAATGCCCATATTGCGGAAAATCTGATCATCCCTCGTACAAATGCCTAAACAAACCAACAAACAAAACAATATGCTTTAATTGTAACAAACAAGGCCATTTAGCCAAAGACTGTGAAAATGAACCTGTGTGTAGATATTGTAAAGAAGAGGGCCATAACAAGGAAAACTGTGAGTTACTTTCAGAAAAAATGGTACAAAAGTATGGTAAATATGCCGCAGATATCAATGAGGGCAGAGAGGCTTTAAACGACGATGACCAACGAAGCGAAACTGACAGTACGGAAGCAGACACGCATGACGATCAGATCAATACCGTTATTCTGGGGGCGTCAAATTGCAAGCGCATTCAAAAGCTTCCGCCAAATATCTTAAACGCCTCGGTTTCTGGGTCATCCTACGAAAACGTGTCACAATTACTGGAATACGCTAAGAAAAGATTAGACGAAACTACACCTGACAACGTAATCGTTCATTTAGGAACAAATGATGTTACCAGATGTCCAGACGAAATCGGAGATTTAACCGGCAATGTTATGATGGGTCTTAACAAGATTCAGGAAACTTTCCCCGAGGCTCAAATTGCAGTATGCACTGTCATACCCAGGAAAGGAAAAAGCGCCGCGATTAAAAAAAATGAATTACAACACCTGGCATGTGAATAAATTCCTTGAAAAACTGTGTGAAAAAAATAAATTACTATCGGTGATCGACGTGTGCAGCTCATTCATAAATGACCAAGGGCTTGCTACTAAAGCACTGTATGACAGCAATGACCCCAGCGGTTTGCATGTCAGTAGCGAAGGCGCCGAGAAAATTGCCGATATTTTCTGTAATTACAACTGTTCTGCGAACGGTCCTCCTCGAACCCCAAGCATTACAAAGCGGAAGTTAAGTTCAAATACCCCAACTTCGACCGAAAAGCAGGGTAAAATCCAAAAAATGTAAACTCTAGATAAAAGAGCTGATCAATATGACTTTTGTTAGATAGATTGGTCACTATGTACATAATTAATACTTGTATATATGTTGTACATATTTATTTTTTCATTCGTATTTCTTCGTGTCTTTTTTTTAGATTATATTATTACTTAATATGACTCTACATATAGCTTCTATTAATGTTAACGGGCTACGAGATAAGAAAAAAAGAATGTGTATTTTTTCATGGTTGAGTAAACGCAAATACGATATAATTTGTTTACAAGAAACACATGGGACAGATAAAGAAACACAAAAGTGGGAAAATGAATGGAAAATATTTAAAGGGTCGAATTCCATTTGGAATAACTGGTCTAGCGAATCACGGGGAGTGGGAATGCTATTCATGATCAAAAAGCCCGAATTTAAAATCACAAAAATTATTTCTGACAGAGAAGGAAGGGACATAACTATTAGCATAAAAAATAATGACTTTACAGTAGATCTCAAGTGTATTTACACACCGAATAACGGAGTTGATAGAAAACAGTATTTTAACTCACTTAAATTTGACGAAACAGCTCAGCATAAAATTATATGCGGTGACTTTAATTGCACTCAAAACAAACAGCTTGATAGGTATCCCGTGCCTTTACGAAAAGATATTGCGGTATCAGAGCTTAATGAATTAATTAAACGATGTGAATTACAGGATATTTGGCGAGAACGAAACCCGGAAAAACGATGTTACACATTTCATAGGGGCAATTCAAAATCAAGAATAGATTTTTTCCTTACAAGTGAAAATATACTACACAAAATAAACAATTGTGCTATTGTCCATTTCCCATTTAGCGATCACGATTTGATAACATTGAAACTACAATTAGACAATATCCAAAGAGGCCCAGGGTTATGGACATTGAATCATAAAACATTAACAAACGAAGACTTTCGAAAAACATCTGTTGAATTCTGGGAAAATTACAAGAAAAGCTTAGATAATTGTCAGGATATTCTATACTGGTGGGACTTAACTAAATATAAGATAAAAACATTGTGTATTGAGATGTCAAAAAAATTCAACGTTAATAAACAAAAACTAGAAAAATTAGAACAAGAATTAGAAGAGATTAAAAACAAACCTACAACTAATAAAAAGTATCAAAATGACCTTGAGCAAAAAATAAAAGAAATTTATATAGATAAGACAGAAGCGGCAATAATACGATCAAAATGTAGATGGTTTAAAGAAGGAGAAGCTCCTTCGAAATATTTCTTTCAATTAGAAAAGAGTAATGGAGAGAAAAAATTGTGGAATAGAATAAAAACAGAAAATGGTACCTATAAAACTGACATTGATTCAATCATCGAAGAGCAAATTAATTTCTATTACAAATTATTGAATACGGAAGGATGGGATAGCGAAAGTGGGGAATTATTATTAGCGGAAGTGCACTGTAAATTAGACGATTATGAAGTAAACATGCTTGAAAGTGATATAAATGATAAAGAAATATATCAAGCAGTGATGTCATTAAAGCCAAATAAATCTCCCGGTGAAGATGGGATTATATCAACTTTTTATCAGATATACTGGGATATAATTAAAAATGAATTGTCAAAAGTTCTAAAGCACATTTTTCATAGGGCCACACTATGTGACTCACAAACAAAAGGAGTCATTTCATTAATACATAAAGGGAATGAAAGAGAAGATATCAAAAATTGGAGACCCTTAACAATGCTTAACAATGATTATAAAATTATTGCTAAAATACTCGCCGAGAGATTAAAAAAAGTACTACCAAAATTAATTCATCCAGACCAAAAAGGATTTGTCAAGGGTAGAAATATAAGTGACGCAAACAGACTGATTCAAGATATCATTGATTATGCTGATAATAAAGATTTGGAAGGGGCTATTATATTTTTAGATCAACAAAAAGCGTTTGATAGAATTGAATGGGGTTGGATTGAAGCAACATTAAAAAGATTTAACTTTGGTAAAAAGTATTGCGAATGGGTAAAAATGCTACTTATTAAATCAAAGACATGCATTAAAACTAATGGTTTTGTATCAAAATACTTTTCAATATCGAGATCGGCAAGACAAGGTTGTCCTATTGCTCCATTGCTTTATGTTCTTCAAATAGAGCCTATGGCCTGCGCAATAAGGCAAAATCCGCAGATAAAGGGTATTTTAATTCCAAATAAACATCAACACATAGAATGCAAAATAGATATGTTCGCAGACGATACTCAGCTATTTAATAAGGACGAAGAATCTATAATAAATTCCTTCAATGTGTTAGAAATATATGAAAAAGCCTCAGGGGCGAAAATCAATTTCTCAAAAACAAAGGGTCTACTTATTGGCAAATCAAAAGGTAAAATACCAAAATTTAAAAAGATACAGTGGATAAAAACTAATATGAAAACTTTGGGGGTATATCATGGATATGGTATTGACACTAATGCAATTTGGTTAGAAAAAATAGAAAAAATAATGAACAGCTTGCATGTCTGGAAAACTAGGAACCTTACATTCAAAGGGAAAACTTTGATAATAAAAAATTTAATAATTCCAATTATTGGCTATGAAATCGAAATGAGGGGAATACCGGATATATATGCAAAACAAATAAATGATATTGTCTGGTCTTTTATTTGGGATAATAAATTGAATAAAATTGACAGAAATGTGTGCTGCTTAGGCAAGAATGAAGGAGGGATATGAACATGATAAATATCTTTAACTATATAAAAAGTAAACAAATAAAAACAATTTATAAAATCATGCATTCAAAGTTAGAAACATGGAATGCTATTGGTAAATACTGGTTACAGGGTAAAGATATGCATTCAAGTCAGGAATATTTTTTATGCACTTGTTCAGATTTATCTCAAATTTCCTTAAATAACATGTCTAGTTTTTATAAAAAAGCACTCATCGCATATAGCGAATTTCAGTCAAAATTCGAGCCAGAGAACCGAGAGGAAATACTCAACCTCTCACTATTTGGTAATAAACTTATTCAATTCCGAGGGAAAGGCCTATATGTGGAATCATTTATCAAAAGCGGTTTATTAAAAATTAAAGACATTTGGAATGAAGCGGAAAATTGTTTTAAATATAATGACACAATTTTTAATAAATTATTAGACAAAAGATGTTGGATATTTGAATATAGTAAAATAAAATCAGCCATTCCTAAACTATTTTATCCAATACTGAAAAGAAATAACTCAATATCTAATAGCGAAACAAAACTCCCTTATAAATTGAATAATAATTTACTCATAAAAAGAGATACGAATAAATTGGTAACATATGAAGATATTAAGTTAAAGAACATAGAAAAACTATTAAACAAGGCACTGATTCCAAAATGTCAAGAAAAATGGGAAAATATATATCAAAATAACATACAGTGGAACTTAGTTTGGGACAGTATTTCAAAACTGAAAGTTAAAAATAAAATTCAAGAATTCCAATGGAAATGCGTGCATAATATTTTGTACACCGAAGATAAATTATGTAAAATCGGACTATCCAATGGTTTATGCAACTTGTGTAAAAATCATAAAGAAAATCAACAACACCTCTTTTACCATTGCACAAAAGTGAAAACAACACTCAAATTACTAGAAGATATAATTAAAATTGTGCTACAAATAAATGGAACTTTACAAATTGACCAACAAACAATAATATTAGGATACTTGAAGGAACCGCAAACCCAAAGAACCGTTGTTAACATCTTAATATGTATCTTTAAATGGGTCATATGGAAAACAAGAAATAAAATTAAATATGAGAATATAAAAATAACTGACTTTAGTATTAAAAATGCATTTAAAAATGAAATGAAATCGAATTTTTTACTATTACAA